CCCTCCGGACGGGGATTTGAAGCCCAAAAAGCCGGACATGTCCGGGAAAATCCGGATGTATGGTAACCCTATCTCATTGGCACCAGAGGAACTGACCAGAATCCATTCCAGCAAGGTACCATGATCCTGGCCTGGATTTCCCTGTGCCCCAAAGCACATGTTGGCTCAGGAAGGGGGTGGACACAGAGGGGATTGATGGATGTGCTAATGGCCCCGAGGTTAAAGAGGGGAAGGACCGGACCTGGATTTATGAGCCCCTGGAATGGACTCTGGTACAGCCCCTGGGAGGGGAAGAACCGGACCTGGATTTCCCATGCTCCTGGAATGGACTCTGGACACAGCTGCTGCAGTGACCCCAAAGCACAAGACACGGGACCCCCAGCTTCAGGTTCAAGAAGGAAGGAGACAGGGTCTTACCTTTGAAGGAGAGCTGCACCCTTGGTGTGGCAAAGACATAGTCCTTGGCGTGGGCCGCCCGCCAGCCCAGCGTCAGCAGAGTGACCCAGAGGATGACGCCAAGGAGGGGCATGGTGGGGTGGGTCTAAGTCTAGGCAGAGTCCTTGGGAAGCCTAGCGGGCAGGAGAAAGCAGTGTTACTTGGGGGGCTGAGAACGGAGTAGCCCGCCCACTGCGGGGATGTGGTTCTCACCCCATCCGCCTCTCATATAGGGGGCACCATCCACAGACACACTCCAGACTACTGCCAGGGCACACCCAGCTCACACATACCTCCGAGGCTCCTTCCCACATAGTTCCCCCTGCATCAGAAGATGGATGAGAACTTGGGGGGAGAGGGCAGAGGGGAGGAATGAGCCAGTCTAGGAGTCCATAAACCCCAGGGGTCTGACAGTCGGCAAAAGCCCTACTGACTGTTCCTCAGATCCTGCGGTGGGGAGATGGGGCCCCAAGTCTTAGGGCTACCGTTGGAGTAATTCCCCAGCCCCTGCCCAGTTCCCAGGTAGCACTGATCTGGGGCGGGGGGAGAGCTAGAAGCTGGGGAGACAGATTCTGGGGAGTTGGGGCAACCTCCCATGAGGGCTTGAGTAGACCAGACAGGACACTCTGTCATTCCTTTCCACATCTCTTGCCGTCTGGCCCATCTAGAGGAGCCCGGGCAGTTGGCTCTTTTGTATCTTTCCCGTCATTTTGCCAGGTCCCCGCTTATAAAAGCGACCCATCAAACCCAGCTTTGCTCCGACCAGCCCATCCCACCCGCACCAGTTTGCAAACTATTCACCAGCCGCTCATTGAACGTGGGGCTAAGGGGAGGCAGGCGATGGGGCAGGCCCAAAGGCTCGCCCCATCACCAGGCGCTTTTCAGGAAGGGGTCCCCAGTCTCTGCAGGACAGCGGACTCCGCCAAGCAAGCTAGCATCCCCGGGTGCAGCACCACTGTAATTAACCAGCTCACAGGCTGGCCTCATTTGCCAAAGCAAATGGGGTTTGACTGAGGGGCAGTAATCCAAGCGGCTGGTTCAGGACTAAACAGGCCCCTCCTGGCCTGATCCCATGGCAGTCATGGAGGGACCTGGCCGGCCCACCAGCTGGCAGCTGCTGGCCGGGATCCTGATTGTTCCCTCCCCTTCACATCCCCCACCAAGCAAAGAACCGTGCAAACCAGGGAGCGGAGGGGAAATCTGGACTTCATTATTTACAGAACAAAAAGAGACAAAAGGCATTTTGGAAAAAAAAAAGAAAAAGATCCATATGTGCCAGGTTGGCTGGGAGCCGCGGGGATACGGCAATACCATGAAGGGGAGAGCTGGGGGCCCTGCAGGAACCACCAGGCTCACATGGGATGTGGCTCCCAGGGGTAATGGGGGGAATTGAAGCTGACCTATCTTAATGTGGCAGTGACAGGATTTTAAATCCAGACAGGACCCTAGTGAGCGGCCAGGGCTCCTCCCGTTAGTCCTGTGTTGAGCCGAGCCAGGAGCAGGCATTAGCAAGATGCCCAGTCTGGATTCCAGGTGACGGAGACTCCCCGCAACCCCCTTGGTCCACTGGCTAATTACCCTGTCAGCAAAGCCACTTACTGCCTCTTGGAATAGGTTGAATATCACCTACCAGTGAATCATAGTATATCAGGGTTGGAAGGGACCTCAGGAGGTCGTCTAGTCCACCCCCCTGCTCAAAGCAGGATCAATCTCCAAACAGATTTTTGCCCCAAATCCCTAAATGGCCCCCTCAAGGATTGAGCTCACAACCCTGGGTTTAGCAGGCCAATGCTCAAACTACTGAGCTATCCCTCCCCGTAAGTGCTAGGTCTTTGATACCTGTGCTCAAAGAGAGCCGCCTGCTACCAGAGATCTCCTCCCCAGTGCGGTGCTCACACCCCGTGCTCAGTCTTGCCCTTCTAGCTTGACCTGCACCAGACTCCCTACGAACGTGGGGCATACCCCAATCCTCACGCACGGCCTCTGAACATGGCAACCTATCTGCTAGAAAGGAGGCAGCGCAGTCCAGTGAGCAAGGCACAGGCTGGGCAGTCAGAACTCTAGTCTGGCTCTGCCATGCATCTTCTGTGTGTGTGTCATGCTTTGCCTCAGTTTCCCCTTCTGCGTAGCAGGGATAAAGGGACTGACCCTCTCTTTGCAAAGTGCTTTAAGATCACTATCTAGCTGGGCCCCCCCATCACTGTAGTGACTGGATCCCTCACAATCTGTAGTGTATTTCTCCTCACACACCCCTAGGGGGCCGAGCTGTTATCCCCGTTGGACAGGTGGGGAACCGAGGCACAGAGAGACCAGGTGACTCACCCATGGTCACACAGGGAGTCTGTTGCAGTGCAGGGATTTGTACCCAGGTCTCCCAAGTCCTATGCTACTGCCCTACCCAGTAGGCCTCCCTGCTTTGGCAAGCAGCTGGAAGGAGGTGGGAGGGGCTCTCTAACAGGGTCGCTGCCTCCAGTTCACCCTTCATGGCGGGGGAGGGGGGTGTTCCTGAAACATCCCTGACTCAGTTTCCCCTCAGTGACTCAGGCCTTCAGCTAAGCCCACCTTTTCCAGGGTGTGAGTCCAAAACCAAACACAAAACACAGAGTCTTGCCAGGCTCCCCTCCATCTATCACAGACTTCTTTGGGCTGCCTTCTGCCCCTTCCTCAGCAGCTGCCCCCAGGCCTTCCTCCCATTCTCTCCATCTCCCCCAGTAGCCAGCCCAATCCCTCATCCAGGGGGCCTGACTGGGTCACATGACCATCTTCATCTCCCTCTCGCCCACAGGGAGGCACAGTGGCACAGCTGGGACGAGACCCACTGCCCCTTCAAGGACCAGCTCCATCCAACGTCTTGTGGATGGATCCCTGCTGAACGGAGCCAGTCGGTGAGAGGGGTGCTTGGCAAGGTGTCCTGGACAAGCAGGGTGGATCTGATCTTGTTTGGGATAAGCAATAACAAAAAGGAACAGCCCGTTGGCACCAAAAGAATTGGGTCGGATCGGAGCTGCCCCGAGAGCAAGCACACTAGCCGCCCCAAAATGCCAGAGCATCCACAGTGGACAGGAGAGGACTAGCTTGGGGAGGAGAGGATCTGACTGATCACTTGGCAGGCTCCTCACTGCAGTCTGGCTAAGACCCCTGTGCTCAGTCAGGAGTTAGGTCCCAATCAATCAGGAGATTGGCCTAAAAATCATGAGATTTAAGCCAATAAGAAACCGAGGTTCTTCCCCTTTGCCTTCTGATTTCTGAGCTGTTACGGTCACCGTTTTCCAACTTTTCTCCACAACCAGCAGGGCCAGAAACTTCCTTCTTCCCAATCTAAGAGGGAGGCTCTCAAATGCTCACATGAATCCAGGCACTGCAGCTTCACGGGCCCCAAATTCCGGGACATTTGCCGTAAATGCGCGGGAGGTGGCGACACTGCCGGTGTCTGGGGATATCTGGTTTGCCAAGGGGGAGGGAAAGCGGGTTCATTTCACAGCTCTGTGCTTTTCAGGCACCTGGTTATTAATTCTTCCTGGCTCAGGGACAGATCCAGCCATCTCCCTCCCACCACAGATGGGCCACATGTCGCATGGGGAAATTGATGGTGGCAAAGCACCATTGACGGAGGTAAGGGTGGAGAGATGGGGGTCTCAGACACTTGCCCAAGGGCCTTGTCTCCACTGGGGTATTTGTTGGTCAATCAGCCCAGCTAAACCAGGTGGATGAGGCCAGCAAGCGTGCGTGGGGGAGGTGGAGTACCACAAATCATTACATGTGCCTGCACGAAACCCTCTTGGGCCACAGGATCACATGAGCTGGTGCTCATCCCCCACTGGGCACAGGTCCCTGTCTCTGCCAGTCCAGAGGCTGGTACAGCCCTACCCAGGAGCTCTGGCTCTGCAGCAGGTCCCACGTTGCGCTCTGGAGGTCCCCGGTTCAAGCCCCAAGATGTGGCCATTGCACTATTCGTCTGAGGCCTTGATGTCTGGGACAGGTGCTGGGGGCAGCAGGGCAGGGAGATGGCAGGCGAGCTGGCTGCGAGGGGCGGAACATGCCCTGATACTGCTCCTGGGGCAGCGGGGGCCAGAGAGGCCTTTAGTGCTGCCCCCTGTGCCCAAGGAGCAAACTGCAGGGAGCTGACTGGAGGAGACTGTCTAAATGGTGGAAACTAACTTTGGGGATTTGATAGGAAAATCCCTCAAATTAGTCAGACGAATGGCTGGAAGGATGTTAGGCTGAGCCCCTGGGAATACAGAGCTTCTTTCAACTGTGGGCAATGCCCCACCATCACAGGAATCACAGCTTCTCCCAGTCACTACTGTATTGCTATTGCCTTTGGAGTTCGTAAATATTTGTTTCATCGATCTATTTCCCCTCTCAGGCACACACAACTCTCTCTCTGGAGTCTATTGTACTCTCGCTCATTTCCATGTCAGCATCTCCCGGCTGAGATTCTGCACTTAGCACAATGCCATGTGTTTTGGAGCCGGGACGTCTAAAAACCAAATTACCCTGCGATATAAAAGCTACAGTCGGCTGCAGTTAAATAAACCCCCCTGCCGGCTTTGGGAAATAGTTCTGGCAGATCCTGCTATTGCATTTGGATGGAGCTGTGTGCGCGTCAGAGGGGGAGTGAGATGGCAAACAAAGGAAAAGGGGGAAGAGGAGAAAGACGAGAATGGAAAGAAGGGAGGAGGAGGAGGAAAGAAAGAGGGATCGGTAAAAGGAACGAGAAAGAAAAACAGGGTCCAAAGCTGGGAGGAAAACAAATGCAGAGAGAGCAGAGGGAATAGACCAATCTCCAAGTGCATCTCAGCGCTGCGATTCTTCTCTCCGATGTCGCTCACACTCAGATGTGGAAACTCAACTGCTCTGGACAGATTTGTTTCTCAACAAGAACCAGCCACCCTCCGCTCCTGGCGCAGGCGGGCAAGGCCAAACTCCGAGGCTGGGCATTCTAGGTTATTTTTATTTCACTATAAACAGCACAGCTATTTTCCCCGTCCCCAAAATAAATCAAATAAAGATTAGCCGAAACGTTTGGGAGCCAAGGCAATTGGGCAGAAAGGGAAAGCTCTCCTCAGCTCTGCTGCTGAAATGCCCATTCAGAGGGGGTGGGAGTGGCTGGCCTGTGCCGTGCCTGGCTCTCGGTGTGCGTGTGTCCAAGAAAGGGGCTCAGAGAGCAGGAAGTGTTCTGGGAGAAAAAGAAAGCCGCAGGCTCAGGAGTCAAAAGGGACTTCTTAAGAACTCTGTGACTAAGACATGCACACGATGACATCAGCAAAACGCTGCAGCCCCTCGGACTGGACAGATAACTTCCCCCTACATAACTCCTCCGCAGCCACATTTAACCCTCCGTTGCCCTCTCCCAGGAGGGGTCTCTCTGTGCAGCTCTGGTCCTTGGGGTGGGGATATGGGATATTCCTCTATCTTTTCACCTGCCTGACCTGTGCTGGGAGGGGGAAGCCTTGGAGTCTGACAGTGGGTCAAGGCTGGGAGATGGTTGGGGGAACAGGACTTCCTCTTAGTACCCCCCCTCTCAGGAGATCATCACCATTCTAGCCCCGTGTGTATGGCGCTTGGACCAGTCAGGTAAAAGAAGGGCTGCCACTTTGTTAGATCATTTCCAAGGGCTGACAGCCTGGAGGTATTTAGGAGACCAGGCCAGGTGGGCATCATAGGTTGGGTGGGTCAGCGGGGTCACCTGGGTAGCCTCTGACTAAGGCACCTGTCCTGGGTTTGATGCTGTGCCCTTATACCTGAGACATCTGCTGTCCCAGAACCCTTTGCTCCTGGTGGAGAGGAATGAGCAGGCAAGCTGCATGTGGCCCCCTCTGCTGGTGCCCCCCAGCATCCTAACAGCATGGGCTGGCGGCGGGGGGGAGGGGAGGTTGTATTTCTGAAGAGGAAGCGCCCTGAGCCTGAACGACGAGGGGAGTGTTGGTGGCTCTCCACTAGCACTCTGTTCTGTGTCCCCACTGCCCCACCCTCTGCCACTCCCCACAAGAGCCATGTTCCCAGGGAGTTCACGGCACTTCGTGCCCTGCAGGGTGGCACTGGCAGGAACTGGGGCTGCCATGTGACTCCTGACTATTCCCCCAAGGTGAGATCGGCCTCCCTCCCGGCCACAGGAGAGAGACACACACCCCCATTGCAGAGGGAGAAGGCAGAGTGAAGGGAGGGCGGGGGCTGGTGTTGAAAACTGACAGGATGAGCCAGGGCCCAACGATAAGCAGACATGGCAGTGAGCCAGGCAGGTCCCCAAACCTGGACCCCCAGGAGCATTCTGCCCATCTCCAGGGTTACCCCTGCCACGTTCCCAAACCAGCCATCTTGGGGCACCCAGCACACCCCAGGGTGCAGCACTGCTTTCAGCACTGCTGTCACTGCAGCAAACCCCTCAGCCTTCCAGCAGGACACAGCCGAGCTGCCCTCCCCACCCCTCAGCTCATTAACAGTCTCCCGGCACTCTGGGTCTGGGCACGCTGGCTCCTGTGGGGTCAGACTGCCAAGGGCCTGCCCCTCCGTGCCCCATTGACAGGTCCCTCTTTTCTCTCTGGGTTCCTTCTTTCCATCTTTCAGCCCTCTGGCTCTTCCCTCACTTCATGCTTCCCCTGAGGCAGATCCACCTCTCCCATGGATTTGGGAGCCTCCCTACCCAACATCTCAGGGACATCTACAAGCCCCACGACTCAGGGACAACCAGGCCATCCAGAGACGGACGAGGAGAGAGGTCCCTGCATGGTAGAAGGCGAAACAGGTTTTAATTGAGGCTGCTGCACAAAGAAAGGAAGGAGCAGGAATTGGGGGATGCTGAAATAAATGCTAGCAGCTGTTACTAACCCAAACAAGAGACGTCCCCCATCCCAGGACCTGGCTCCATAGTGTCCAACAGCCACCTGATGTTCTGGCCCAAGGGCCCCAGCCCAAGCAACCAGTGCCAGCTGTTGGCAGGAGCAGGGGAGTCTCTGGCTGCACTGGGGCCTGAGAGATCTGAGCCACAGCAAAGGAAAACAAGGGGTTGGGGGTTTTGTCCTGTCTAACAAATTGACGCAATTAGCCGGGGCGGCCGCAGCTCCCCGGGCACGGGAATGTCTCCCACTAATTATACAGCAGTTGTGTTTTCATTGGGGAAATGAAAGCCAAAGTGAAAACAAACAGGCCGATGTGGGAGTGAGGCTGGCAGCAGAACCTTGAAGAGCTCCTCTCCTCCCCGTCTGACAACGCAGGCTGTAGGAAGATGATGGAGGTGGGGGACTGGCTAACCCTCCCCTACTGCCCCACCAGAAGCAGGGCAGAGAAGGGGACACACCGCTGTCCCTAGGCCCAGAACTCGGGAGAAGAATTCAAACAAGGCGAAGAGGAGGGGACCAGGGGAAGGAGAGAAGGGAGAATGGACAACAAATGCAGGGAACTCAAAAACCAATAAAGCCGAAAGAGCAGCAAGATCGCTCAGACCCAGGGGTTTCGCCCACCTCTGCGCTGGGTCACCCCAGGCCCAAAGCAAAGGCCCTGAAGCGGCTGAGAGCAGAACCCTGGGGCAGCGTCAAGAGGGCTGGGCAAATCGGCCTGGGCCTGGGAAGGGGACAGAGGAACAAACCCCCTAAAGGTGCAAGCCGGGCTGGGGTTTGGAGGTAGCCCCTTCCTGGCACCAGCAGGAGACTTCGGAAAGGGAGACGGACTTTCCTGAGCTGCAGGGGCTGCGGGTGGCTTCCCAGAGCCCTGCCCCGTCAGGGCGCTGCGAGGAATCAGGCCAGCCCTGGCACGCCATCCGTTTCCTTTTCCCACGCGGATCTGTCCCACCCGACTCCCTCCGCGGCCAAGGGCAGCTCCCGCTCGCCAGCCGCACGCCCGGAGGGCTAGAGCCGCCGAGCTGCCCCGGGGCGCCGGCGGACTCAGCAGGTCTATCTGCTCCCACGGCTTTTTCGGCTGCGGGAGCTTCCCTGAGCCCTGCTAGCCCCTAGGAAGTCAGGACCCCTTTCCCCTCCTCTGCCCCCCGGGCGCGGGACAAAACGATCCGACCCGAAGACTTGCGCTGCTCGGGGGAGTTCAAACCAGCCCGAAGTTTGTTGGGAGCAGCGCTCGCCTGGATCTCTGCCTTCCCACCCCTCAGCCCCATCTCGGGACGGGAGGTCCCTGCCGGGGCCCGATCCCTGCCGAACCTCCGGAGGTGCAGCCCAACGGGCCTCCCCGGGCCCTGGCCTCGCACCAGGGGAGAATGTTCCGCAGCCACAGCCGGCGCGAAAGCCTTAGCGGAGTTGTGGAGCGCGCTGGGCAGGGGACCGAGCCCCCCGGACTGGGGCTCGCACCCTGCTCCGCGCCGGATACGTACCTCTTCGGACGACTCCGGGGTTTGAGCCCCCCGACGGGGCAGCGTGGACGCGCGGGGCTCCCAGCTGCGGCGAGCTGCGGGCGTGGAGCCGGCACCGATCCAGGGACAGCCCCAGCCCGGAGGAGAGCGGGACCCTAGCGCCAGTCCAAGAGCATCTCAGCAGGGTGCCCTGCGGCACAGTCCCCGCGCCATTCCCGTGCGCCCCCCGTTGCGGGGTGCCGGCGATCAGGGGCGAGCCGGCTCTACCCCCAGGGCCATAGGCTCGCCGAGCCGAGCTGTGCTGCCTTCCCCTGGCAGCTCCGTGCGCGGAGCGCTGGCGAGACGAACAGAACTGCGCGCAGCGATCGCAGACTCCGGCCCCGTGCGCTCCCCGGCCCGCCTGGCTCCACAACTCGTACTGAGTCCGCGGCCCCGCCGCAGCCCATTGGTTTCTGCTGCCTGCGATTTGCATAGCCCCGCCCTCCCCCGCCTGGGATGGGGGGCTGGATTGATTGGCTTCTCTCCCCCCCCCACCCCTTTCCACCTGTACCGCCCCTCCCCGCTGAAGCCGCTGGTGCCAGAGCCTCAGGAGGGCTTGGCAGAGGGAGCATTGCAGAGGAATGCTTGGAAGGGGATTGGTTTGGTCTCCTCCCCACCCCCGGATCAGTTTACATGCCCCCCCCAGCCCTGCCCAGCTCACCTCCAGCCTCACTCCTACCCCCGCCCCAGCGCGGCCCCGCTCCCCTGCTCCAGCCTTAGGGCCTGGCTTGGCTGGTGCAGACCTTAGAACAGCCCTTTCCAAACCTTTGGTACCTTTCCTCACTTCCCACCGATTCTTTGATGCCTGTTTTCTAGGGGGAGTGCCCAGAAAAGGGGGGGGGGGAAATGTCACCTAGCAAATCTAAATAAATAAAGCTAGTCCTTTGTCTGGCTTAGTTCTGCAGCCTATTGCACTGGAGCCTCCTGGCTCCCTGGGGTGGGTGGGGGAGAGAGAGAGGAGGAAGAGGAGTGTGAGTGACAGAGGGAGAGAGGGAGGGGAGGAAGGGGCCTTTGTGATATTGCAGAATCCAGCCAGCCAAATATCCTACAACAAAGAAAAACTCAGGCATAACTGACAGCAGCACCAAGCGTGTTCCCGTCATTATCTCAGCCCCCCCAACCCCCCTCCTTCCTTGCATCAGCTCCCCAAGACAAGATGGGTTAACCCTTCGGGGGAGGAGATTCGGAACCATCGCCCACACCAGCCAGAAGGCAAGCTTCCCGGGAGATGCAGGGTGAACCCCCAATGCACGGCTGGGGAAGTTGTTTGGAGTGGCAAGGCTTCAAGGCATCAGTAGAATCGGTGCTTGGGATCTCCAGCAAATTTCCGGAGCCCTGCCCTGCCTCAAAATTCAGCAGGTGGTGCTCTTTACTCTGAGCAAGCCCGATGTTGATCCACATTTCTTGGCAGACTCTGTGCTACTGGAAGCCACGTCTTTCCGATGAGGTGTCAAACTATGGCTGTTGATCTCTTCCTCCCCAGAGGTGGCTGCATGTCAGTGGTGGGTGGGGTGATTTGTGTGGCCACCAGAGCATCTGGGGATCATTTGGGGCAAAAGGTGTTCTGCAAACACCCAGGATTGTTTTCTGCACAGTAAGATTGAGTAACTTGCAGTCAGGACGAGACACAGGAGATTCCTGTGATTAATGAGGAGAGCTGGGGGCCTGGGTTGTCACAGTCATTCCTCTTGGAGTTATCCCATACAATCCCAAAGCCTGGCTCAGGTCTGGGGCTAAGCAAGGATGATGCGTCTTTTCCCTCCCAGTCTGTGCTTTGGGTGCGTCTGTGCTGCAAACATGTGGCTCATTCATGAGACGATCCAGGGAGCGAGGTACCACTGTTGTGAAGGAAATGTCCAAATCACTGGCAACGGCTGTCCTGGGGGCAGGGCAACTCTGGGCCGTTATTTCCCCAGGAAAGAACTAAAGCAAATAAGCAAAGGTACACTTCCAAAGCAAATCAATGCATGGCCCAGCGCTCAGTGTGTGTTAGTGTGCTGGACCCACAGAGGATGTGGGTCTAGTATAGTTGTTGGCTAGGGGATGTGCCCCTTTAGTTTTAGTGATTTACCCCTAGAGGTCTGTGGTTCAATCCCCCCATGGTAACCAAGCGAAGAGCCCTTCCTTACACCATCCAAGTGACATAAAGCTAGAGCTGCTGCCTTTTTGCAAGATGCTTTGGACAAAGGCAAGTCACTGAGCTCCGCACAGGGTAAGAGGGTGGCATTCCCTGGCCTGTGTCACTCAGGAGATCAGGCAAGGGGGTCAACAGCCTGTTCTGGCCTTGGGATCAATGAAGCTTATACAGCAAGAAAATGAATGGGCGAGTGACCACAGAGTACATACCCTCTTCTCCTCCATCCTCAGGCACACGTCTGTGCTACAGACCAGATGCACCCCATCCTTAACTCCACCCTCTGGCACGCAGCCCTGGGCCCGATCAGGCGCGGCTCCAGGCACCAGCGCACCAAGCGCGTGCCTGGGGCGGCAAGCCGCGGTGGGCGGTCTGCCGGTCGCCGTGAGGGCAGCAGTCAGGCTGCCTTCGGCGGCATGCCTGCGGGAGGTCCGCCAGTCCCACAGCTTCGGCGGCAATTTGGCAGTGGGTACGCCAAAGGCGCGGGACCGGCGGACCTCCCGCAGGCGCGCCACCGAAAGCCACCTGCCTGCTGTGCTTGGGGTGGCAAAAAACATAGAGCCGCCCCTGGGCCTGATTCACTAGCTGTGGTTGGTGTTTGGTGCAGTCATTGGTTGTGGCCACAGACTGGGCTGGCCCTTTATGGGAGTCCAGCTTGGCCCCTACCTGTGACTAGCAGGCTGCTTCCTGGTGAGGCCAGGGAGCAGATGAGAGCTGGATGATTCCCCAGGTCCCCAGAAGAACCAGCATGAGCTCAGCTGAGCTGGAGAGTTGCAGGGAGTGCCTGGATCCCGGGAAAGAACCCAGTTCACGTATCAGCCTCTCAGGTGGAGGGCAGACAGCAGGTAGGACCCTGTATCAGGAGAAAGGATCTAGCTCTTAGCTGACACCTGGCATGTGGCCTGGGGAGTTGGGGAGTACAAGGAGTAGAAAATTTCCTGCAGGCATCCCTGGGGGGTCAGGGCAAAGGGCTGAGAGAGTGGAGAGAAAAGCCTTCAGAAATTGTAGCCAGGTGGGGAAGAGAAGCTACTTTATTTTGGCGGTTTGCCTAAGCATTTGGTTTAACCCATAAATTGTGTCGTATGAGGCAAGGCCCTGACACAGACTCTGATGTGACATTGACCCTTCCTGAGCTGGCAAGTTAGCCCCCTGGAATGCTGCTGTAGTGGGAGAAGGCTGAATAAAGGGGTGGGTGCAGAAGGGTAGTCAAGGAGGCAATGGAAGGCTAGTGTCTCTAGTAAGGCAGAGTTAAGGTTGTGATGAGTGGTGCAGCCAGTAGCTGTGGCAATGTGTGTTTGCGAGTGGAGGTGTAGGGCAGATGTACTGTTAAGTGGATTCACTTTTCATTGCCTTGCTTTTGTGGATTTGTGCTGTGTGTGTGTTAATCCTGACTACTTTACAACAGAGATTGTTCTCTATTAATTCTACAGGCTTTTTCTCAATGTTTCGTGACTCTGAGGGTGGACTTGTGGGGTTAGACGTGCAGTGGCTGAAAGAGAATGCTTTGTCTGCTAGCAGCCATGCATGAGTCCTTGTGCATTGGCAACTGCACATGACTCATGGGATGTTGCCTGACAAAACCTGACCGGTAATTGTACCACCTCATGGAGAAGATTTTTCTATGTGCCTGGTTTTCTATCAGCCAGGTTTGTGTGCACAGAACATGGACTTCCAGTTAGAACATGAACAGTGGCTGAAAATGACTCAACAGCCAATGTTTTCTTTTAACAAACCGCTCCGTCTTGCATCAGATCTTGCTGGGCTTGGCATCCCCACTACGTTTTGTGCAGACAGGTGAAGTTTTAAAAGAGAGATTGGTCAGCAATAAAAAGTAGGGCTGCTGAGGAAAAATTTCACTCCGAGCCCAAATTCAAACCCTTCCTATTAAAAATGTATGAAGAAAACTCAAGCAAAAATGATGGAGGATATTCAAAGGCATGAAAACTAATCCTGGATGACATTTCCCACCCAGCGGCTGCCTACATGTAGAGGAAAAATAGGAATTTGGAGCCCAGCCTCAGATGCAGCCCTCACTGGTGAGTTGCTACCAGGCACCTGCAATATGAAGGTGAGCTGTAGAGCTGGTTAATTACCACAGAGGTGCTGAAGCTCAGACATGATTAGGCCTACCCAGGGTTGAAAGGCCGTGGGACTCTTCCGAGCTCCAGCTGCACAGTGAGCTCTGCCCTTGTGGGATGCCTCAATAAGACGCCGTGCACAGTAGATCATGCAGATGTTTAAAATCTGGGCTCGGGGAGGAAAACAGTATCTTCTGCACACCACCCACATGCAAATGAGATGTCTCTCGGAGGGTGCAGATCTGGGACCTGCCCTCTCCTCTCTGCTGTGAGACATGGGGCACTGAAATGATCAGCCCTGGTGGTCAGTACTCGCTAACTGGGCAGTTCACACCTCTCCAAGTGGCTGTTCCGGGCTCTGCAGACCCTTGCTGCAGCAAGTACTCCCAGGTCTCATTTTTAATGTTTTCTTTGCACCCAGAACAACTAAAAACAAGACTTTTTATTCTACAGGAAAGCTGAGGTTCTGGAGAACAAGCCAGTAGGTTCAGAGAGTTGTTGGCATGGGGGGGGTAGGTGTGTAGTGGCTGTCTCCAAACCCTGGGCTGTGTTATGGACTGGGAGGGAGCAGTATATGTATTGGTAAGTGGGTGTGAGTCTAAGGAAAGGAATCTCAGCTGGGGTAGCACCTCAAGAGTGCTGGGAGATGCTGCTAGTCATCACGATTTAAGATCACCCAGACTCATTTCATAATCTGGCTCACCACAGTCACAGCTCCTCTCATCCCCTGGAGATGGTCTTGCCAGCTGAGGGGCACGCCAGCAGGGGGCAGTGTGTGTGAAGTGCTGGTTGTATCCAGGGGATAGGCTCCAGCTGACTGGATGCACTGCTCAGTCTGAACCCCCCATGAGCAGCGTCTGGGCAATAGGGAGACGGCTTGGCTCCAGCACAACGGGAAATGAAACAAGAAGGAAGGAAGCTAACGCCCCCTCTCCTGGGAAATGCATTTTTAAACAATGCTGCTCTGATCTGTGGCTCCCTGGGCTGTCAGCTGGAACTGCAGGTACTCAGCGCACCAGAGATGGCCTCTCTGCACAAAGGGGGCTATTGCAAATGAGTGCCCTACGAATGGGTTGATACCAGCATGGTCCCATGGAACTCCAGGCCACAGCAGAGCTTGTGGTGGGGGGACCTCATCTCGGGGTCACAGACCATCAGCAGTCACTTAGTCCCTGTGGA